AGAATCACCGGCCTCGAAGGCCAGGTTCGAGTATGACCTTAACTTCGTCAAGCTCCTTTTAAATAAGCTACTGCCATTAACAGTATCAGGCATAACCATACAGCTTGTATAGAATCGGCCAAAAGCCTGACCCCATAGTAAATCAGCTTGTACGCTTCCCCAAAGTCCCACTTAACTCCAAAGAAGAAAGGGAAGCCATTCTAAGCAACTCTTAAACGATCAGGCAGATACGTCCGTGCCGACTTATGCGTAACAGACCGTGTCAAAAGACAGCCTGCCCCCATAGATTAGGCTAAGGACACGAAAACGGCGAAAAATCTAAAGATCGAGGGTTTTCGGGTAGTCTGAGTTCGAAGTTTGGCGATCCTGGAACTTCTGTGGGTAGGCCACGGAAGCACAAACTTACTTGACAGTTTGCTACATAAACGCCAGTAGCCTGTTGAACAGACGGAATGAGTTGGGCAATATGATAAACTCCGGAAATCCGGATATAATTATCATCACAGAGATATGGCTAGCGCCCGATGTCACTGATAACGAAGTTGTTAATTCCTTTCATACCTGTTCATCCTCAATCTTTCCTTTGTTCAACATTATACTACTTGCCATTAGTAAGTAGTATGATTTTTATATGTTAATTTATAACAATGACATTTGCTTACAACTGCAGTTAAATTACTTGTTCTATTATCATTCTATTAATGTATAGTTATTATTTTTCTTCTCCTTAAACATTATTTGCTGACCTTACCCTATAGTGTATGCTCTACTATTGAAAGTTGTTTGTTCATATTTGTTTATTCTTTGCTTGGCATTCGCGGGCCGTTTGAACCGACACGTGGATCGACCTTGACACAGCATTGCTGTTTTTACTTATTGGCTGCACAGTGGGTGTGCATTTGACGGCATTTAGCCACAGACACCTCACATTTTGAGGTTTGTATATTATATATCTATTTTTATGTAGTAAAGTACCGTATTGCAGAATATCCTGTATTTCGGACTTTACGCGTCACTCTACGTGTGGTTAAATCTATAGTTTGGATTATCGTTTCGGATTTCTTTCTGGAGAAATTCACAGAAGTTAACCTGCCAAACTTCATAGTGGATAGGGTGGACCAAACTAGCTGCAGAGGAGGTAGAGTAGTCATCCACCCCAAGAAATGCTTAGTCTTGCGCAGCATTGAAGCACTCGCTCATGAAAGTGAATGGTGTGAACTTCTATGGTGCAGACTTGAATGCATAGGCCAAGACATCGACCTCATTGCTATATACCGCAGTCCTGACTGAAATGCAGATGACTTCCTAATAGAGTAGCTGGGCTCCTGTACATCGAAGTCCAAGTCGGCAACTTCCACGCCCCAAAAGGTTGACTGGACAAGCCTTACAATGCCATCTTCGGACAGCTCTCTAGGTTATAAACTGCCGGAATCTAGCGTTTCACTAGCCCTAGTCCAACATATCATTGGGCCCATGCGCTACAACTCACAGCATTCGTCTTCATTTCTAGACCTAGTTTTCTCCAATGGTGAGGATATGGATCTCATACATCTTCCTCCTTTAGGAAGAAGTGATCACGCTGTGCTCACTTTCAAGTTCACATCATCAGGATCATTGGCCGAAACCCCAGGTCAACCAAACATTTGGAAATCTGAAATAAATGTGATCGTCTCAGCAGCCAACTCAGTGAACTGGTACATCAACCCAGAGTCCCGAGTAGGAGCCGAATGGAACCAACTTAAACAACTTTACGCCAAGTAACTGAACGTTTCATCCCTTGTTCTGTCCCAGAGGATCGGAAACATTGCGTCCCTTGAATAAACGGTGAGATCCTTAAATTACTCAGACGTGAACAAAAAGGCTGGAACCAGTTCACCACACGTGAGATTCGGGAGACCGGAAAATTATATAGCACCACTAGGAACAAGACTGTTGCAGAAATCCGGCAATCGACGATGAAGTTCGAAGAACATCTGGCTCAAAATGCAACGAAACAACCTTAGAAAATTTTCTCGCAAAATAAACTTCAGGAATAAGACATCCAGTGGTGTCCCAAACCTAATTACTGACAATGAAACAATCGAAGATGAAGAAAAAGCAAAAGAAATGGCAGACCACTTCTCCCGGGTCTTTACACAGGAGTCGTCATTCCCCGTAGGATCAACTCTGACTGCATCAGAGGAACACAGAATAGACTTTGTTGATGTTGACCAAGACATCATTCTCAACTGCCTAAAGAAGCTAGATTCATGGAAATCAATGGGTCCTAACAATCTTCATCCAAGGCTTCTCAAGGAGCTACCAGCTTACATAGTGGGCTCATTGGCCACAATCTCCAAGCTCTCTCCCCTAAATGGAGCGTCACCGCATGGCTGGAAAGACGCCATAGTAGTCGCCATGTACAAAGGAGGATCAAGACAAGGCCCTTCAAATTACAGGCCTATCAGTCTCACCAGCACTTTAATCAGGACAATGGGAAGAATCATCACGAAAAATATCATGACATATCTGAAAAACAACAACTTGTTATCTAGAGCACAGCATGGCTTCCGAGGAGACATCTCATGCCTGTCAAAACTTCTCACTGCAAGAGAAAGCTGGGACAAATCAAGATACAACAGAAGATACATTGACGTCGTCTTCATAGACTTCAGCTAAGCCTTCGATAAAGTACCTCACAAAAGACTACGCGTGAAGTTGAAAAGTCTTGGTGTCAAAGACAGCTTACTAGACTGAAATAGGGAATTCCTCATAGATAGGGGTCAGAGTGTCAGGACCAACTCGAAACTGTCCTCCTGGACAGTAGTGCGTAGCGGAGTGCCACAGGGCATGGTATTCAGACCTCTCCTATTTATTTTGTATATCAGTGAATTATTTCTGCTCACGGAATCCCCTATGGTCCTATACGCAGATGACTTAAAAATATATAGCCTTCCATACTTTCGAACAACTTGTTCTTATTCTGACTAAAGTAATACCCTTATTTCACGTGTGAGACTAAATTATTTTTAGAATATCGAAATCTTATGGCAATTATATAATTATCAGAAATAAAGGCCGTTTGAAATACAAGTTCACCACAATGGTACACACTGTGTTCATAGCGCTAATGCACTGCGTCTTAAAATGAACAGTAGGCTGTGCCAAGAATATAAAAGCAGAAACCAATGCTGAAATTTAAATGAGAATGCTAACAATTATTGAACCAATTAAGACAAAAGAGTTTCATTAATTGGACAAAGTATACCAGCATGTTTTCATGAAAATTCAAATATATACTTCTAAGCGCAATATCACTTGGAATTAAGTCACGCGTAGATAAAGGCTGTCCCGGTCCAGAACAAAGAAGAAGCCGGTCACTGTTTCTACGGTACTATTAATAAACAAATCAATAATTATATGTACAACAAACCTTAACGGTTCCAAGGGTACAAGGCACAACGCTTAACAGAAAGCAAGGTACCGCTATCAGAGCGGAATAAAGTTAAAGCCAAAATTGCGAACTAGCCGGATCAGACACAACCGTTCAGGTAAGCAGTCAGTAGAAGAATGAACCCAAGTAAGAGGTAGACAGAGCATAGGCACAAAGATACAATTTAATTGGTCATTTTGCCAATCAATAAATAAGATAAACTCAACAGAATAGTACAAAATAAGACATGGGTCAGAAAAATAACAGTTCACAAAAATGATCTGATTGGGTCATGAGTTCAACTGTCTGACTAAACAGATCGAAGTAAAAAGACACACACAGTTCATTAAACAAGGTGGGATAGACACGTTAGGGGTGGATAATTGGGTTGCAACAACGCTAGGCTGATCCAGGACAGGTTGAATTGATTCAAGGATGGGAATTGAACTGATCTTACAATACTCCTACATTTTGAAATACTCGCCAATTTGACCCACTACACAGCGCAAATATTCGCATCGAGCAACATTTTCACATATAAGTTCAGCAAATATAACGCAACTGAAGGACATTATGTCGCCGGTCTTATATACGTCAGAAAAGTTTTTAATGCAAAATTCTATTTGTAAAGCATTTAGAGAACAGAATCTGTCAATAAAACAACATAGCAACGGATTTCAAAGCTACAGTTAGCGGGGATATGCAATAAAGCCACTCCTATCATTATACAGACAGAGAGGAGATTTAATTACAATGTTTAAAATTTTTAATGGTGACTACGCACTGGACTATATTTCCCTTTTCCTTCCCGCCAGATCGGAAGACCTCAGAGGACACTGCGGGAGAGTTCACAAGACAAGAAGAAACCGCATTGGTTTTGACCACTGGTTCTCACAACGAATCATAAACTCCCAGAAGAAGTGGTGTCTGCAACCTCAATGGATTAATTCAAGAAGGGTTTGTACAGGCACAGATATTTACTAGAAAAGTATCGACATAGGTTCAAAGCCTTCCATCTTCAACCAATATATCAGAATATGAATCTGAAACCTGAAACCCATACATTTGGCTGTCGCTACTACATATCTATTGGAAGGCTTTAAACGAGGCCAGATGATCATGAAGCAACACAAGGATTGTGTCCGGACAGAATATTACCCTGCCGCTCACATAGGGCACTCTGTTGATGGTCATCATCTAATTTCGGCCTAAACCCCTGTCCAGCTCCCAAGTCTCACTCGTCTTATTATTCTGCCTATTCATCCGAATTATTATATCATCAGTTTTGTTCTTTTTTTTCTGCCGCACCATACGGTTAATAGGCGAAAGGATCAACCCCATTAACAGTAGCCAAATGGTCTTAACACACCGGATACTATAATCCACATAACCGAAAAACAGGACCGCACTCATTTGAGTTAACCAAAGTGACAACAGTCCAGCGGCAGGACTAACTATGTAGAATTTTATCGAAAACCAGGAACCGCCGTCTTGCAACAAAAAAGCGAGCGCAAAGTATTTAACTTCGTTTACACTAGCTCGCAAAAACGATATTGGACATCGGAATTCTACACTGCCTAAGCTATTAGTGAATAATTAAAAATGATGCGTTACTGTTAGTTGATTGGTTACGTTCGATTTGTAAGGGGAAATACAGACAAAACCATGCTCTTCATTTACTCGCAACATTGGTAGCTGTTAGTTTTTAAATTAAAATGTCGTGCAAGGAAGCTTCTCCGGTTACAAGAAGTGGTCTTATAAGTACTAGTGATGTACTCGGTAAGCTTTACTAGTAAACTCACGAGATTCAAATTATTAAGGTTCTGGAAAGAAGTTCACATGGGTTAGCAGGTAAATTTAACCATTGTTTGCCGCCGTTTCCACTGTTTTGTTCATAGGAGGTATTTTTTCTATCGCATAATTGTACAATATAATAATATATACAGTTATTTCTAATATTCTAAGACCATCATATACGTGCATAATGTTCAAAATAATTTATTGTATCCATCTATTTTATTGAGGCTTTGACCTTAAGTGTGACACTTTGATAGTGGATTCGACCATTTTAGTGTTTCGATATATCGAAATGTCATATATGACATTAATTTGCAACCGCATAACAGCATTTTTCATCTCTCATTTGTATATAGATCTAGCGAGAATGTTGTGCTTTTTCCTAATCTCAGGGGGTGTATTATTTTCTCACCTAGATCAGCAAGCACTTTTGACCTTTTGGCAGGGTAATCCCTACTTTTTTTTCAACATCAGATTAGTTCTTTCGAAAATAGCTAGATTTTACAATTTACAATTTTACATTTGATGGACTTTTCATGTAGCTGAAGGATAACTTGGATTAAAGAATTATTTGCATAAGTGCACGATTTCAACCAATGGCCCAAGCTCAGTACTCGACTTATTTAGTGACAAGTAGACAGGTTTGCATGTAATATTGTACGCGGAATTGTTTAGCCATCATTTTCAGTTTGGTTAAAACTTTCCATTATCATTGATGTAAAATATGTTTCGTTCTGAAAAGTTTTAAGAATTTATGAAGAACTAATTTCTGGTAACAGAAAGCAGTATTTCGTAAACTTTTAGAGAAATAGCTTGGGATAGTTGCCAGAACTCTGAGGTGATGCTTACCAACATCACACACTGGAAAAAAACTAAAAAGTAGTAGATAAAGTTGAGTGGCATTCCCATAAAAAGGTTAATCAAGTGTATAATGGAAACCCGAAATTTTAATTGATCTTAAAAAGTGGCGTCGATTGCACATAAACAAAGTTTTAAACTACCGAGAACACCGTCTAAGTAGCTCACCTTTTCCTGTATAGCCAATACAGGAGTTTATCAGCTAATATCCTGAATTTTATACTAGTGTAATTGTACTGTTGTCAGCATTTTACGTCAAAAGGTGGGATTTAGTATGTGTAACATGTAAAGTTAGAAACAACTAAATTCTAATCTCGTTGAATTTTTCACCTCTCTTGTTTATGGCTGTCTTACATGAATAGTGCTCATTCGATAACTCCTCCATTTCTAAACAATGGTTTTGAAGTAATAATTGTGTTAAGTATGAGATTCATATGAACACTGCACTTTCATCATCTATATTTCATAGTTTCAGAATCCAACAATGTGCGCTGCTTCAAAATAAAATTTTATTTCTAAAGCAAAAAGGCATCTATAAATGTTCAATAATATAGTTTGCTATAAGATGTTGAACAGCACTGCATGGCACCTCTGCCTCTGAGAACAGTATGATGTAGCTCAAAATCATTCTTAATGGTTGGCACAGGTGCATTCACTCTTCGTGATTCGTCATATCCAATAAAAATCCACTGTTCCATACTGCTATTCTTTTTCCGTCACTCACACTTCTGTTTATTATCTCCTCTTGTCAATCTCTCTTCAGTCTCCTCGTGGTTTGTGTGCTACATGGAGAAAGAGTGGTAGCTCGAAGTGCTGCACATCTGTGCAAAGTCCTATGTTGAAACTAGTCAGTCAGTCACAACGATTTTGAGCTATATCACCAATAGCCTCCTGCTATTTGTTCTTGTCATTCCGAGGACACCAACCAGACTGTCTGCAGCCCCCTAAATGACTCAAACCAACTGTCAAAGACTCCATGGATTGCTGCTATCTTTTAGTTTGTCCGCCAATAACTCCTTTTCAACCTACTCTTATGTCGGCTACCATTACACGTCAAGGAAGCTGATGGTTCGACATGCACATTTCACAGCCATCTCAATTGATGTAGCTTCATAACTTCATCGAATTACCCTCCTTGCCTAACACTACGCCTAACTTCATTGTTACTCATCATGTTGTTTCACATGAAGTGAGAGATAGAAGGCACAAACTATGGACAAAGGAGACTTGTATCTTCATATTTTCTACTTCTAATGGCCGTCTCACAAACGTAAGAGAGAATGGGACTAATCACTGTGCACTAGGCATCTTCTTTGATCGAAAGTGATGCGGAAAGCTGATTCCAATGATTTGCTGTCCACCGAAAATTCTTTTAAAATATTCCTTAATGTTGACGCATTCATTTAACGTATTATCCTTTTCTGTTTTGCTCGTAAATGAAATATATATGTCCACATTTTAGCTCTTTTAAGTATGCATTAGGTTAGGATCCTCAGGATTTCAAGAACCAGTGACTGGAGATTACTAGTCATATGGCTTAAAATCGATCTCAATGACGGAGATGCATTCACTCTTTGTGATCTCCAATATCCATATGATGCAATATTCAGTTATCTGTGTGTAGTGTTGTTCTGAAAAGTCACGTGTCTTTGGTGGAGTCTTGTTTCTGCGAATTTAACATCTGTTAAGTATATCAGTTGTATGTGCTTTTTCCGTGAAGCATCTTACTTATGATCGATTTACTAGTGAAAGGATTTATGCTGTAACCGGAGTATACAGATGATATTAATTGCTTTATTTCTTATATATGAGAAGTAAATGTGCGGAAGTTTTTTTCCCTTACTATTTTAAAAAAAGATATTCCTAACAGTACAAACAGATAAGCTTTCATGTTCAAATTGAGTTTATCATTCAAGAAGTAAAAAAGCTTATAGTTATCTTAGGATAATGGAGGAGATATTCGATCATGTATCATGAGTTAATCGGACGAAAAGACACTAAAAGCAAGCCATTACCTTCGTAGAATTACCATAAAAGTGATACATTTGTGTTAAGCTTACAGTGCAAGTGAAAACAAGCAAGTGTGTTAGTATAGTCGTGTTATCTCCCACTAAGGAAAATGATTGAATCGCTTTGACCCTCTTGTCTACTCAATGTACACATTAACTTACTATGCTACGAAAGCATAATCCACTTACAAGAAGCTTACGTATTTCCCAGTAAATGAAGAAAAATATTTATTTTTAATGGCATTTCGCTACATAACGATGTTAATAGCATTATCAAGGTATTATTAAATTAGAATTCAGACAATCTCAGCTTATATACACAATAACTTAGTTATAGTTCTTCAGCGTCGATTAACTTCTTGCTGTCAAGTGGAGGAATTGGTATAGATAATAAGTTATATGCAGATTGTTAGATTTGATAAATGCATGAATTATCCATAGATCATTGTGTTTAGCCAGCTTTTTACATTAGCGTTGATTTCGTCACTTCATGCGGGTGGGTTGGTGTTCAGTGGGATCAGGGCAAATTCTGTCCCAATCCATCATTTCTATTCAGACAATTCAGATTCCATTTGATATGAATTGCTTCTGATATGAGACTTTTTCTCTGTGAGTTTTGAACTTTTTCTGAAGGATTTCAATATTATAAGAAAGCAGTTTTTCGACCTGATTCTTTAGTGTGTAGTAATAATAATTATAATGCTTTATTTCAGACGGTATGCGAACATATAGTACAAAGATTTTTAACGTATTCAGTTCCAAGTTACTATTTTGTTCATTCAGAATTTAAACGTAAGGTAATTATCTGAAGGATATCTTCATTTCGTTGAAGACTTGCACAGTTCGTGTATAGGTCATTTGATATAACTGCACAATTAAAAGAATGATAAATCCAGATGAAATTAAGCATTTTAGTGGTGTAGACCGATGACCGATGATTCTTCAAGCTTTTCTAGTCATATCGAATTCCTTGGTTGTTGAAGAGAGACTCCACATTTCTCCGTTGTCATGTAACTATTAATTGTGAGGCTGTTCGGTTAATCAATGTCTATATTGCCTGTATATGTGATCAGCATGTAACAACCGGAGTCTAGAGTTGGGAAAAACTCTAAACTTTGTGCTATCTGATATTTTATCACTGTTTTTTTAATCATTCTTTGTTATCTATTCTGCTTGCATTTTGTTTTTCTACCGTAGACAATGCCTTCCATCGAAAATGGTGAAAAATGATTTTAGCGTATGGGCTTTTGTGAAACAGTGTATCGGAAAGGTAATTTATATGTATTTGTTTATTTCAAGTGGTATTATTTATGATGGTTTATTTTTATAATTGCATGAGTGAATTTCGAATAAAATATGTGTTCCTCTGAACCCTTTTTTTAAAAAACAAACATTTAAGTATGTCTAACATGTATTTCCCGCCTGTATGATACATCGCTTCTTAGCTCTCTGAGCTAAATTCACAGTGTAATTTTTGCTACGATTTGTTGGTCGGTGGTGAAACGCTTACCTGCTACCCAGGAGGTCTGGATTCGATTACCAGTCGACGCAATGTTTAACCTAGCCTAGGTAGTGGTATTAAGGCTAGAAAAGAGGGAAGCTGGAGCATGAGGTTAGCGATCCCACCATGTGAAAACAAGACTGTTACTAGTGAAAATTCACAACTTGAAGTTCTGTATTCTACTTCAAATGCAAAGGAATGGGGAAAAAGAAAAATTAATCATTTGGACTAGTTTACTTTTATTCCAGATTGCACGTTATGATATCCGTTTTTTTGTCTTCTCGTGTCTCCTGTTGATTGATTGGCTAAAGGTATACACTTCTGTAAAATAAAATAAGCTAGAACAATCACTAAAGCGGTATAAGTAACATCTACCTGGCTGCCTATAACCTATAATAATTACTGTACACCAGATTATAATAAGAGCGTTTGACACAGTGTGTAATCATGGAAAATTCCCATTGTAACATATAGAAAATCAAAACAAGTGGGGATTCAGCGAAGAGACTCGTTTCAACGAATTTATCATCAAGCTGTACAATCATATATATATGGTGCCTTTTAAGAAGTTATATCCGGTGAGGGAATTGAATCATTGGTGTGAATGCATGAAATAATAATAATAATAGTAGTACAAAATGCAATTAAAACTAAAATGTTTGTGATTATAATCGTAGTTAAATGTCAGGTGGCAAAGCAAATTAATGTCATATATAGAATAATTCATAGGATGGATGGAACTTGAAAAAGGGTGTGCAATTATAAGATTAGTAGATAAATCGAATAAAATAAAAACGTTACGTAATATTGTGTGAAATTTCACAGCATAGAATTTAACGTTGCAGAACAGAATTAATTTAGGATAACAAATGGAACAAGTGAAATAATACCGGGGACAGTTAAAAGTGAGAGTAGTAATAGTAACAACTGACTTAATAAGGAAGAGTATACAAATTGAATAGACAAAAAAGAAAAGATGAAAAGTTGGTAGAGCTAAAATATGATTTGTGATTACCATACTTTAGCATAGACGGATTAAGACCATGAAATCTGGATTTTCTGTTTCGATAGCCAAAGCTTCAGTAATACAGATGAGTCGGGTACGTAGGGATTTGGGTAGATTGCTCTTTGCCTCGTAGATGACTTTAAAGGCGGAGGCTATAGAGATAGGGTGATAATTATCGACCATATGTCCAATGATCGCGCTTCTTATTGCTCCTTTTTCCACCTTTTCATAACCATGCAGGATAGTGTTCTTGCACCCTCTTGGACAAACCTCGAGTCGAACGACCGATATATCTAGCTCCACACGAGCAGGTGCTCAACAATTAATTGCAATTCCATGCAGTTGGCAGCGAGCCACACTTATATTGTGTGAGGGCTAGTGATACTAGCTGGCTGCCCAAACGTCGATGGGTGAAGCAGGAAACGAACCCGTGATCCGTCGAGCGTCTAAACCATTGGACCACAGTCCCACTTCATACACGTAAGAAGTCAGTCAATTAAAAGTTTCAAATAAATGTCACATAGAGAAAAATCAATAAACTGTCATTAGATATCACAAGTATACATCTTATTAGGAAGAAATTTTTTCAGCAAATGAAATTTCAATATAATTTCTAATTATAAACGGGTATTAGTTAAGGAATCATTGAGAAATAGGAGAAGCGGCACTGGACAGCTGTTCCATCATAGTCTCACCATCTTCAGTGATGCGTACGGATAGCGTTACTAGTAATCGGAACTAGGTTATTAGGTGAGCTGGGCTGAAATCCAATGGCCTATAGTTTCAGGAATTTCGGGGTATGGATCGCTCAACTGGTTACCAGAAGAGCTCTGTGTGTAGACTGCTTGGTTGGAGTCTTTGAGATGGGAATAATCAATGTATGGAGACTGTTGACGACACGGCTCAACATCGTCCTCAGTGGCGCAATTCATTTCATTCATTATAATCTCCGAGATACATAAAGTCTTCATGTTTCTCCAGTACTTTCCTGCTCATTATGCCCCTTTTAAATATTTTCTATTATTGTACTTTTGTGTGCTATAAGGAGGAGTATGGCAATTTGAACTGCTGCATTTTTGAGTGAGGTTTCACTTTGGAACTCAATCAGTCGTTGGTCAGTTCTGGGTTAAATTGTTGGTGGGGAGATGGATGCAAACTGATGACGAGTCCCAAACAAGGACGAAATGTCTATTCAGTAGTCCCTATTTTTATGTTCTCAAACAGATATTCGTTTTTAATGGAGAAAAAACCTACATTGACCTTAATCCAATCTCTACAAAGTAATCGATGGTTAGTAATCACAATAATATATAGCTATGAAAAAAAGAAGAACATAAATGACTTTAATTGATAAATGCAAAGCGCAAAAGGAACAGAACTGAAAAAAAAGATTAAAAGGAATCAATGTTAGCATACTGTTTCAGTGTATTTTGTTATAGCTATAATGATAATTCCGTCTATTTTGTTGTTCCAATTGTTGGTACTTTTATTAATGATAAAGTCAACTGTATCCTTGTGACCTTTAAACTGATTGGTTAATAGAATTGGGATCGATTGATTGATAGATGGAGGGATTTAACAACAGCCTATATGAATCAATGCAGATCAACATTAATTAGAGGGATAGAATATCATAATCTTACTATTTCAATTCATTAAGTTTCAATACGATACTTACTAATGACATAATTGAATGATTTGCCCAATTGGTGTAATCGTTTCGAACTATTTTCTGGTTAGGATTAGAAGTGTGCATTGTTGGAAGAGTATCCAAATTAGAGCACGTTGACCGCTTCACTTATTTGGGAAGTTGCATCAGCCCCCAACAGGTTGATCGTTGACGAAATCTCAGCACGGATGCAGAGGGCTAGTTTCGCATATACCAGTTTACGCGGTCTCTGGCGCAGACGTGATATCCGGCTTTCGACCAAAAGGTGTGTGTACTGCTCAGCAGTTCGCTTCGTCCTCGTTTATGGCTGTGATCGAGACATGACCAATAAAAGTGAAAGACATGAAATAGTTGGCTAGCTTTCTTTGGTCATAGGTGCCTGCGCTCTATCTGCCGTGTGAAGTGGTATAATAGGGTGAGCAATATTGAAGTTTGGCGTCGGCGGAGTGCTAGGTTGGTGGGAGGGGAAATCAATCGACGAGGCTGTGAAATTACATCGACTGAGATGGTTAGGATATGTGTTACGCATGCATAGCCTAGTCACCGCCTTCCTCGACCAGCGGGCAATGTTAGCTGACATAGGGTCAGGCTGGAAAAGAGCTAGCGGCGATCAAACCAAAACATGGCCTCATCAGTCAATGAAATCCACAACAGTTAGTTTAAGCCACGTAGGGAGGTGTAGACTGGCTTCCTGGTTGGGGTCTTCTGGACGGTAAAAACCAATGGCTGGTGACACTTGGTGATATGGCTCAAAATCGTTTTCAATGGCTGTCGCAATACCCAATAAAACTATGGTTCTACGATATTACCATTCTTTTTGCTTCATACCTCTGTTTACTGTCTTTGCTTTGCATTTCTTTTTACTTTCTTCTCTGGCTTTGTGTGCTAAGTGAAGTGTGGCGACTCAAACTGCTGCGCATCGGTGTAAGGTTCTGTGTTGAAAACAGACATACAGACATCCAAATTAGAGCATAAAACTTACCTAGTACTTCATAAGTGTTTTGACTAAGAAGAAGTAACTGATAAATTCCTTTCTGTTTAAGGTAATTTGTACTTCCTGATTGACTTATTTTGTATTGTAATTTCCAAATTCCCATTTACGCATTTAGAAAAAAACAACAACAGACTGGGCCCTGGAGAAATATGCATTCCTTTTCAATTAGTTCCTCATCATCGACTCTACACTAATATATAGTTGTTTTACGTCGAAATTTTACCAATTTATATTGGACACAAATATTTGATCTTTGTTTGATGTATAGGCTGCTGGTATGGATGCTTATGTGATGTCTGAAGGCCAACATGGAGTATAAGATACGCACATTATTCTATTTGGGACTTGTCATTTGGATGTACTTACACCATTTCAATGAGTTTAAAACAAGCAGCAAAGGGGTTAATAAAGCAGGATTTAACGAATTCATCAAATTTCGGTAGAACTCTTCCTCAACTGAATACTCTACATACACGGATATATGTACTATTGAAATTACATTGGGATATATAAGACTGATAAGTAAACAAACTACATTGAATTACGAGTTGATCACAGAGTGATATCAGTTAGAGAACCATTGAAAACCAGGGAGTACTGGACAGCTGCTGTTTCATCCTAGTTTTGGGAATCATCGGCAGTACACACCCACTGGGATTCGAACCCAGGACCTTCCGGTTACAAGGCAAGCTCGTATACCATTCAGCCACTGGGACCCGATTCAATGGCTCATGAATTCTTACTTCTACCAATTCGTGATTTAGCGCGACCCCAACTATTGTCGTTGGTGGGACATCCATCCACACACGTGACATCTAATTGGACCTCACTGGTCATGACTTCTCACTAGAACTCCAGGAAACTCCATCCTGTAGCAAGTCACTAGCGAAAAGTACATTGAATTAGTCGTGCAGAAAGACAGGCGCGAATGTTTTCCAGGTCATGTTCAAATAGATAAGGGGAAAGAGGGAGTATGAGAGATCAAAATTAAGATAAATTGCACTACGCCTCAATTACATCACTTAGATAAACAATTAGTCATTAGAGAATATATCAAGAATTGCAAACAGAGTAATATCAATAGTAATAGTTATAATAAC